ATGCACCGATTCATAAGTACATACACACACGCACAAAAAGAAACTGAATAAAAGTGCCCTCAAATGCTTCCTACTTGTTATTCTTGCGAGTGCATTTGAACCGATCAAACCTCATCGATTTTTTTTTTCAAGTTCAAAAAAATTGTGAAATATTTTCAATCGAAATAAAATGGAAGTCGTAGTTATTTTGTATTGGATACTTTGGGGTGTGATTCCCGCATTGGGTCAGCAGTTAACGGATTGCGTTTATATAAACCATCGCCAGGATTCGGTGCAATTAATTTGTGACAATTTCAACACCGGTTTCGACACAAGAGATGATTGTTTTTCGAAGAAATTTCCGATGGGTTGGGTGAGATTACTTGAAGGTGACAGCATAAAAGTTGGTGGTTACGGATGTGGTAGCGACGTATTAAAGTTTGTGAGTAATTCGTGGCGTGAATTTGATATATCCACAATTGGTATTTCGGAACTTCCTACAGTTTGTATTGATGATGTCGCCGGTCCAAAATTACAAAAAATGAATGCATCTCACAATAAAATCGCCGACAATTCAAAACTATCATTTGCAATGTGCCCCAATTTGAAGGAGCTCGATTTATCATACAATAAGATCAGTACATTTAATGCGAAATTTCCATCAGATACACAATTGGAAGCACTTCATTTGGAAAACAATCAAATTAAAAAAATCGAATTCAACGTACCATTCACACAACTTCGTTATTTAAATGTATCCAACAATCAACTGCAGGAGGTCTTCGATCAACATTTTGTATTCACCAGTTTGGAGACACTGATTTTGGACGGTAATCAATTGACGCATTTGGATAATGTGAACCTTTTTAAGTTTCCAAAATTGAGCACATTCAGCATTGCTAATAATCCAATTTCAGTTCAAAAAGTCACCGAATTTTTGTCGACAAACGCAAAATACGTGGTTAAGGAATTGGGAAATGCATTCGGCAGTTTAGCGACTGGCATTCGGAATCGCATGACAGATGTTCAAGAGAAAATGTCTGTTATGTACAAAAATTTTGTTGGACATTTTATTCGCGCTGCTTCTTATGAACCATTGGATGGAGAAAAATTAGTAAAAAACTAACACAGGAATCACGTCATTATTTGGATTGTAAAATTGTTTAAAATAAAGAAATAAAATAAATTT